AGTTTAAAAATCTGAAAAAGTTTCAAATGTCAAAAATAAAATTCTTTGATAAAAAAAATACTTATTTATAATTTCAGTCATTTGCTGCCGGCAACTACTTCCAGAAACAAAGTATTTCAGCCAGAGAAGGCAAATCCTTACTAACAAAGCAGCAGTAACAAAAAACAATTACGTTAATTTTTGTTGATAACAGACTTAATTAGAAGTATGCATACCTTAAACGATTTTGTATGATGTAAGGGAGGTAATCAGGAAACACTCATGCATTATCTATTTTCTTTAAGCGGGAGTTTCAGGGCAGAAAATTTAAGCTTTATCTAATATCATTTTTTTTTTTTTTTTAATTAACTACTGTATTTGCCGGTGTCATGGACTTAGTTTTTTCTTGAAATAAATCTCAAGACTTTACAGAACATACAGGAATTCAATGTACCATACAATGTGCCGTAGAAAACTTTCCTCAGGTGTAAGCCTACAAAAACCCTAACCTATGCACAATAAATTTTTTAAACTTATTTCAAGAAAAAACCGTCTTTGACATTGGAAAATACGGTAATTCTTCTACTACATTCCTTCCTTCAAAAGAAAAAAAACATTTTTGCTATATATAATGATGCTGAAATATATTAGATAAAATGTAATATTTGGCTTCTGAAAAGTTACTTTTAAATTAAATTAATGATCAATGGATTGTCTATTTAATATGTAACTGCTTTCTTTCATGAACAGTATTTTATTCTGATTTAGTGCAATGAAAGACAGACCTCCAGTTAACAAATAATTCAAACAGTAAACACAAATTTAAATCTAAACAGTTAAAAAGAACTGCGTAAATATAATTTATCGTTATGATATATATAAAATGGCCAGCTACTTGTTTTCCAAGATCACCCACCACCACAGTTTACTAAGGTGGTCAGCCAATCCCTGTTACAGACACCAAACCAGGCACATTTGTGTTTGTTCAACACCGACAAAGCCCATCTGTAGTTTATACTGCAACTATACAGAGCACAGTATCTGGGAGAAAGCATATAATTTGTCATAACGATCAATTTGAACAACACCAGTAACAATGACTTGTGATATTGTGTGAGTACAACCATCAACAGCTTCCAAACAGTTCCATCTACCCAATTTCCCTCACAAAGCTTAGGTCAACTCATTTCAAGCATTTTCCAAATATGCTACACAGTGGGATTGCCTCCCCAGACCAATAACATTAAGAAGCCACCTCCATGACAAATCAATCATAGCAAGATGGTCAGAAAGCAAATGTTCTAACCACTCAGCCATGCACCTATATATTTAATTTCTTTATAATTTTCAAAACTCAATTAACTGTTCAAAATTCAGTTATTTCAATATTTTTGTCTATTTTTTTTCAATAACTGCTAACAAGCAAAATATTTGGGTGGTTTTCATTCAGTTAGATTTAGAATCCAAGATAAATCTAATTTTGTTAGATATATAGATTTAATAAGTCACTAAAATGGAAACTATATAGTGGTGATAGCCATATTAATAGCAATCTAAACCATTGTGATTTACTAAAATCAACAACAAAATATTTTTACTATTGAAACCCTTAAAATTACTTTAAAATCTTCTAATCAAATTCCATAAAAAAAAATTCCATCCATATAACTGTTTACAAAATTCTTCAGAATTTGTACAAGAATTTCTTAAAAGCAGTAAACTGATCAAACTTCCATCACAAATTAGTTAAGGTTATTGATAAATAAGAGGAAGTATTAAAAAGTTCATGGCTCAACTTGCTTTACTATATTCCCAATTTTGATTTTTGATCAATACTGAAATATTGATTTTGAGACGGTAGAGAACTATTCAACATTCTCTTGTATGAAGTAATTATTACTAAAAAGTTGCAAACATTGTTATAGACAAAAGCATTTCATATACATAGCAAATAAAAATCATTAAACCATGACTGCTTTTGTTCTAATCTACTCCATTTTTGATAGACATTCTAGTGGAATCTAGTTATTGAAAGAGATTTCATTAAACATGATATATTCCTATCAATATCAGAAACAAACACTAAAAAAATACAATTAATAGCTTGTTTTGCTTTCATTATATCTTAAAATTATAAATTTTTCTCCATTAGTTGACACACAAAATTGTATGAAAAATTCAGAGAGAAGCAATGGTCACTTTATTCAAGCTTCAAGGAGTCATGTATATAGAAAGTTGCCAAAAAAGTATTTTTTTAACTCATTGAAATTCAGATACTATATAGTTTTTAGATAAATCATAGCTTTTAAAAAAAGAGCAAAGTTTTGAAGTTTTCAGAATTGTTACCCATCAACCCACTGCCATATGAACATTTATTTCAGTTTTAATAATCTAAGCAATCAATATTTCACAATCACAAAGAAATGGTGCAAAATGTTCAACTTGCTTATCTCCCCTTAGCCGCCATAGATGAGTGATACTTTTTTTTTTTTAATAAAAATATATTCAAGATAAAATTTTATTTTTGCGAGTTACCAAAATAAATTAAAAACAAATAAAATGTAAAATCCATGTTTGAGTGTATCGTAAAAATTAAACCTGAATTGAAAATCACAACTTATTGATGATTAAATTGAAAAATGTAACATTAATATAGAAAAAAAAATTACATCAACATGAAATTCAGTAACTGGAAAAACAAAGTTTTTTTTGTTTTTTTGTTTTTTTATAGCAGAGGACAAAGTAACTTTTTTTCCAAAAGAAAACTTAAAAGAAAGTGAAGCTGAATTGTGCAGAGGTTGATGAAAGTTTATACCAAAATCCTAACTAGAGATCCTTACTTAGAATGAAAATAAAATTAAAAAATATATATTGTAGATGATAGTGAGACCCTGGTAGATGTCTGTGTAGAATAGCTAATGACTATGGAAATCTGAAACTGGCTTGTTACTGAGATTCCACCAGAACAGTCATAAATAATAGACATTGATTTGTTAGACTCTGTGAGAATGGACGAATTAAGAATTTTTTAATTCATTGTAACAAGATCAAATTCTGAACACTTAAAATGTTTTTGGAAAATGTGTACAGAAGAGAGGAATTATTTTAGCCACTATATTCAGCTGGGTTGGTACATTAAAAACATTTCATAGGAGAAAAGGAAAAATATCAAAAGGTTTGTTTACATGTTAAGGCCTACATGGACTGATTATATCAGTGAAAAATCAATAAAAAGCAAAGCAACAAAAATTATCACCAGAGGGCAACATTATTGCCTGTATTTCAATGAGACTAAGATCATACATTAACTAAACTTAGTCTGGCACGAGGCCACAAGAATGAATCGTGGAGTGAAATCTGAATTTGTTATGCTAGCAAAAACTAAACTGATAGCTTTCTGTTTAATGCTGTGCTTGCAGTTGAGTGCCAGACCCCCAAAGTGTATGGTTCAATTTCAGCTATTCTGACTCAGTTACTTCCAGAAGTAGAAATTTTTGTTTTCACACTTGTTAGTGAACATGAAATTAAAGAGATTTTCAAGTACTAAAATCTTATTCCTACAGCGATAAATATCCCCCCGTCTGTCATGATTGGTGTTTGATTCCCTGCTGAGAAGGAGAAAGCCATTTTTACAAGTTTACTTTCTATATGAGTTTATAAAAATAGAGAAATAGAGGACAGTAAGTGTTATCTCAAATTTGCCTTTGACAGAGTTATAGAGAGGGAAGCTTATTAATAAGAACTCATCTTGGCAAAAATGATTTTAAGTCAGTCAGAAAGCAATCACAGAACTAAAGTTTTCTATTGTTTGAATGCAATAGAAACAGGTAACAGCACTTAAATGGGATTAATGAAGAGCTAGCAAAAAATATTCACAAAGCCTTAACTGTCATCAAATGATTATTTTGAATTTTGGGTGTGATATGCTATACTGAAGCTGATTGACAGCAAATCTTGCTAGCTTTGTAGATTTGCCACAAATAGTTTAGGCTTCTTTACAAGGTTGAGATGAATCGCTTGCTAAAAAAGATCCACTTGAATGGTAGGTTTTAATATGGATTCTGAAAATCACAGATATTTGACAACTGAAAAAGAAGAAATGATTTGCAGTAAGAAAAAGAAAGTAAAAGTAACTTTACATAATCTTTTCTTAGTAAAGTACTTCTAATCCCCCCACTCTCTCTCTCATATCCCTTCAAGGTGTAGGACTCTGTAGAGAGACTTTTTTTGCTGTATTTCCAGTATCTGTAAATCCTGTTTGAACAAACAAGATGTTTGCTCTTTTATTAATTATATTGCAAAATACTATCTTTTAATTAAAAGAAAAATAATTGTTGCTTTACATTAAATGTTCAAACAATTTGATCAACATTTAGAAATACATTTATATTCTGTTAAGCATTATTTACAACCAGCCAATCTTGGAACATTTTCTTTTTTTTATTTTGTGGTAGAGGGTCTCACTTTTTCATTTGAATAAAATTTTCCTTTTAATTATATTAATGAAAACCTTTTTTTTTAATCCATTTTTGCATCTGGTTGAAAATAATGACAAGTCTCAAGTAAATTAATTCCCACAACACATCAGCCATCACTCAAAATAGTACTATTTTTCATGGAGGTTCATTACATTAATTGCTCACAATTAAGTTTGTATAAAAAAAAAAATCAATTTCCAATATTCAAGCATCAATCACTAGACAACGCCTTTCTGTTGATACAATAAAAAAGGAAATTTTCACATACTATAAAAATGATTCACCCTTACAACCAATTGTCGGATTTATTCTTTCTGTTTTTGCCAGGAGGCAGGACAGAGTTGTTATTCAGCCAAAAAAGTTTATATCAGCTAATATAAAATGATGCAAATATTTCCAAAGCCTGGATGAGGTTAAGGGTCATAAGTTACTAATTAGTCTGCAATTTCAGACATCAATTTCTGAAGCTGAATTTTGTAGAGGTCAATATGGTCCATGTCTGTGAAAATTCTGAAGATCTGTAGAGATGAATAACAAAGAGAATTAAAAAATGGGAAAGAGCACCAAGTAATTATTTGCTTCATTTGAGGATAGAAAAATAAATTGGTGGTCCATGCAATGTGCTTTGTAGGCACAGCTCTGAGAATATGAAACTAGAGCATAAGATGAAAGGTTCAAATCAAGTAATGAGTAAGAGAGGCTTGGAAATTGGTCACTTATAGAATAACCTCCAAACCAAAATGGCATTGCAACCCTTTCAGGTAAGAATAGTTCACAACCAGTAATAGCAAAACAAACTTTAATATGAAGAGAAAACAAACACTAACTTCTTCAGTGAATCAGTTGCACTATTTTCAAAAATAAATAAAAACTTAAAATATTTCTGCAGCTTAAATGCTAGGCATTTATCATTTTGTGCAACAAAATCAACAGATTAGTACAACTGCCATCCCCTCATATTTTTAAGAACTTGTTTTCTTTTACATTTACTAAAAGAAAATTACAGGAAGTTATAGCATAAAATGACACCTGAGCGAGAGAGATATGAATTCTTCACCTTATTCTACAAAAGTCCATCATCAATTCTTGAAAAGTCATAAAAGATAACAAAGGCAATGGCACTGTGATACACAAAAATGTTTTGTTTTTTACTATTATCATTTGCTTTCATATTATTCATAAAAATCACTGATTGCTTCAATTTTTTTTCAAGAAAACTCTGAAAATAGTGGGGTGAAGGGGTATATTTAATACAAAAAATATGGTAAATTGTATAAAGATCTTAGCTTTTAGATGTATATGATACTAAGTTTCTCTACTGATAAGAGTTTAAAGTTACTTCTGTTCCATATTTAAATGATCATTTAACATTAATTATACAACAAATAGCAACAAGATTAAGAAAAATCTCTGTATGATAGAGGAATTTTTTCTTTTTTAAGGATTTTATCTAATATCTTGGTGGTTCCATACAAAATTTTAAGGATGTAGGATCCTGTTTTATAATGCAGGCAATGAAGATTACCATAAAAAAGACAATAGCTAAAATGGAATATTTAGTCTTTTTTCTCAAAGGATAACTTCTATGAAATAAACTTGACTAATTAGTGCCTAGAAATTCAGATCCCATCTTTTCAAAATGTCTTAGATTAGATTACACCTAACTATTCAATTTCTCATATGAAACTATTTCAATCTTTATTAAAAAGGCCATTGGTATAGAAGTCAATCTAAATAAACTTGGAAATAAACTACATACTTTATATCAAATAGAATATTGAAGAGATTTTACTGTTTCCAATGCAATCAACAGTTTTTCAGAAGACTTGTATCCTCAAAAATGTAAGAATAAAGTCAAATCTAATGTCTGATAGCCATAGTTATGAAAGACATCTGAAACAGAGTGCAAAGGTCAAATTCTTACACCAACATTGTGCATTTGATCCTCAACCAGTATTTTTTATCTTAATTTGATTTGATCAACAGTTTAGAAATTTTTAAAAACAACTCAGAAACCTTGGCCAAGCTCATTCATTTCTTCCAATTTTCCTTACAAAACATTTGACAACAGAGAAACTTGTTCTTGATTTAATCAAATCAGAAGATCCAAAGTGAGTTTTTGGCAAGACTTTCTCCTTAGAATATCAATGAAGAAATTTCTAAAATCATTTAAAACAATATCAACTTCTGGTTATCACTGACTTACAATAAATGTTTAAACAATATTGTTGCTAGATCAAAACTTCACTAATTAAAACATTTTCAATTTGAACAAAAAAATAATCAGAACAATAAAAGATAATGGTAAACTAATTTAAGCAAAAAGGAAATTAAATTGTCAAATAGAAATTCATATCAAGACAATGTGGAATTTAACAAATTGGACATGTCCAACATATAATTGTCTCATTATGAGGCCTAAGTACAAATTGGTTGTCCGACATCAAATTAACAGTTGACAGTTTTCAACTTTTTTTAAATGTAAAAGTGTAAATTATAACTGTACAAGCATTAAATTAAAGAAAACCATATCATATTCTAAAAATAAAATGAAATCAGTTTTTCAAGTTCAATACTGACTGTTTTAAATCTGGTGTTAAAAAAGATTTTCCTCAAATATAACCTTTCACATTTCAGTTGAATTCATAGTTGTTTAATGGCTTTACCAGTTGAGCTGAGACACTCATTTTTTTCTTGTTGAAGAGAATCTGTTGAATCAATGCAACAAGTCTTTTTTTTAATAAATAAATACATTTTTCCTGTTAATCCAAATCCAAAAACAATAGAATCAGTCTTAATGTAATTGGTTTTGTTCTGAACAAATTTGGGAAATTATTTCTGGATTTAGGAACTGAACTTTCTCCCTAGTTAAGGAGCCCACTGATTCAAGAAATAGTTTATGATTGCACATTATTTCAGAGCCTCTCCTAACTAACCCCAAATGGTGCATGCAAATAATAGTGTCTCTTAAAACATTTAAAATTATGTAAGAATAATTTTTTTTTAAATAAAAAATTCAAAAGCCAATCAAATATTTTTACAATTAAACAAATGATCAGAACAGTCATGTCTCATTTTGAAGGAAAATGTTTTTATCTTTCTCCTCTTTAAAAAAACTCTTTGAATGTTTGAGAAAAAAAAATTCAGATGAATTGCTTAAATTTTGTCCTTTAAATGAGAAGAGAGAAAAAATATTTAACATTAGTCATAAATTTTCTTTGGAGATTTTTGCTTTATTGACTGGAACCAGAAGCGGTTAAACTTTCAACCTATAGATTCCAGTTAATATTAATAAATGTGAAATTTAAAAAAATAAGGAGAAAGATTTTATGACACAAATCAACAAAAATAGGTAATAATCCAAAATAATTATGTACAAAACCTCAAAATGTACAATAAAATACAAAGACATTTCATAAAGACTATTTGTTTTGAGAAAAAAATGTTACAGAGAATAAAAGTAAAAGAAACAAAAAGAGAAAAATAAAACAGCCTCACTTGTAATTGATGACAATTTATCTGAGAATGCTGAGTTATTCCTGGACAAAAAAAAATGCTTTCTTTTCAAACTCATATGAAGACAAACAGGTCACCAAAAAGAGGCTTAGTAGAACCAGTTGAGTAGTGTGGAAATGGCTTTGTACTGAACATAGGCAGATACAATGTAGAATGTGTGGAACAGAAGAACACCAATAAGGTCAGGGGTCATTTTACGAGAAGTAATTCTAGGAAAGTTTCTTTTTTCTTGGTCTGTAATACTTGGTAATATGTTATATTTGTAATAGTTTTGTAATAACATTTCTTTTTCCACAAAACGTTGGTTCATCCAGTCTGTGAGCCCTTCTGTATCCAACGGAATTTCACTGATTGGGTAAATCCGGTGGTGCATTATAATTTGACACGGAGGCCAATAACCAATTCCAATGCCATGAATATCCAAAGGACGCCCTCCAGGATAAGCAATTGTTAAATCAACCACATACTTGAATTTCAATTTTTTATCTACAAAGAAAATGGATAAGCAAAAGAGAAATTTTAAATATTTATTTCTGAAGAAATTTAATTTCAACTTTTGTACAAGGAATAAAATTCTATAGAATAGGATGACAAGTAGGATTTGAAGAAACTAAAGTGGCTTTTAAGTGAAACATTTTAAAATGCTTGTAAACATATAGATCAATCAGTTATATGTATAGCAAATTTCAGAGTGCATAGATACACTTATCCAACACAGACGTGCCAATCCATCCCAGCATTTTTACAGTTACTATCGTCATTATTTATAATTTACTTATCCATATTAATGTCAGAAATATAAAAAAAATTACAATCTCCATGCAAAAACAGAAACAGAAATGGACAAAGATTTAGAAAAATCTTTATTTTGTGGCTTTAATACAGTGATTGATTTAAGTTCCTTAGTCTGACATTTAGCCTTTATGAAAAATAATGCCTTTTCAATTTCTCAGATTAAGTGTTGATTACTTTATAGATGATGCATGTATGTGAAAAGAGAAAATACCTTTTTCTGAAGAATCTTTCTCAGAATTGTTTTTAGTTTCTTTTTTATCAGCCATTTCTTCCAGAATGACTTGCATGGCACCAATTCGAGGAAGAGTTATATGTTCCAATATTGGTAAATTCTTCTTTCGTGCATACCTTCAGGTACAAGTAAAATCTCAGAAAATTAATTGATTCTAATTTATAAAATTGGATCAGTTAATTACAAATATGAATCTTTTGAAAAAATGACAAATATATGCTAAACTAATAAGCAGCAGAAATTTTTTTTTAAATCTTTAAGTGATTATTCTTTTGCTTTCACAAAACAACTCATGTATATACAAATGTTGCAACAAGGCAAAGGCATAAAAAATAGTGTAAATCACAAGGCAAGAATAGGGGATTTAGAATAAAATTTTAAATTCACCACGTGTAGTAAATTGAAGCACTTCTAGAAATAGGGTTATCTGTGTGTCAAACCATAATGCCAAGATCATAAAAGAGTCTAAATTTTGACTCTTGATTTCACCTGAACATTCTTACAAAACATTCAAAAACAATTTGGGATATATAATTAAAAAAAATTATTATTTCATCAGTTTTTTTTTCTTTATAAAACACCCTTTAAAGTTTCAATGTCGTATATTAATCTTAAAAACACAATCTATGAACATTTTAACAAAGATCAAAATCTCTACAATTTGAAGCACAGATGAACGATAGAGCATTACCCAGTTAATCATGCAACATTAAAACCAATGGCATTATTTAAGGAAAATTTAATAAAACTTTAATTTCAAAAAATTTATATCCGATTACATACACAACTTCAAAGTAGGGGATTTATAAGCATTCAGATATTTTTGTAAAAAGTAGTTTTGAGTAAATAGTGCCAGAAAAGTTAATAGTAAATCTCAGCAGAAGACATCAAGCAAAATGCACAAAACTGATTAAAAACAGTTTTGATATCACAAGAGGATTTTTTTAATCTGAAAAACTCCTGAAATATTCCACAAATGCAATTATGTTCACTTATTAAAATTAGAATCTTTTTTCTTTCTTACTGATTTGCTGAATCTTTTGTAAACAACTTTTATATGTCAAGATTATTTGATGAACAATGAATATGGTAAATAGTAAAGAGAAGACTAAAAAAATCTTCAGCTTACGATTGACTGGCCAATCTTCTTTTGCGTAAGAAGCCACCTTCAGGAAAAAGAACCAACCATTTTCGAGGTAATCGATGAAAAGTAGACTTGAGGTGTGCACGCAGATCATGCAATGTTTGATCACGAGAATCTTTTCCCTGTTAGAAAAAAAAAAAAAAATTTCTTTGCATACAAATGTAATCCTAGACATGTTTCTGTTAGAAACCCCAATACAGATCTGTGGCAAATTAGCATCTGCATGGACCATGCATTACCAAAGCCACATTGTTGTGTGACATCAATAAAAGTAAATAAGGATTCAGTATGAAAAAAGAAAAATCTTTTTTCATTTTGTAAATTTACAGCCAATTCAAAAGGTTTATGTTATTTTCATATGTAGTATATATAAGAGGTTGTTCAAAAAATAAAGTTGCATATTTGAAGAGAATAAAAAAAATTGTTTGAATGTAGCAAAAGTTAAATTTATTTTTTAAAAAACAATTATTAGCAATAAGTAGAACTTATTATGAAACTAATTCTTTTATTCTTTGTTGAAAAACTCTGAGAAATTGAATGAAAAGCCGTCTGAACCAAAGCTCTACACCAATAGAGTCTTGATGGGAAATTGATGGTATCTGGTGATAGAATTTATTATGAGCTCTTAAAATAAGATCGCAGAAAATCTTTGTCAAGAACACAAAATGAGGACAATTTTATGCCCAAAATGCTTTGATTTGACCGAAAATGTGATTCTTCAAAATGACAAGGAATGTCCATACTAACACCCTCACACATAACATTCAATATGATAATATTATGGATTTCAGTTAAGTACAAGTACTTGAAGTCAATGGCATCTGAGTAAACATTAGCCTACCAAATACTTAAACTTTGCCTATGAAAGTGGGAAGATATTTTTAAATCATTTGTTGGGTAAAATAAATTGGGAAGGCCTTATATGTTATCAAATGTGACAGTCTTATAGTAGGCTTTTGCCATTGGTAATAATGATTGTGTTTTTTCTTGACAAATTTATGTTAATTGCATAAGCTTTTATTTTATTTCCTAAAATGCAACATTATTTTCCAAACAACCTAATATGAAACAGTGACAAAAATGTCCAAACCTTAAAAAGACTAAATTCTAATATCTAGGTCTTGAAAGATGCTAAGTTTTAACATTCATCTATGCAAACATGTTTTTTGTTCAAGTAAATTATATTCTTTGGGTAGTTTTGTTAATATTTCAGTATTTATTTTCACCATTATACTTAAAACAGAAAGAATACAAGTGACATTTTCTGATTGACTCACTATTAACATTTACTCTAAGTGGTTCTTTTTGCTTATTAGGTTGACTCATATCAACAGCTAGATATTGTCACTTCTATTCATAATGCTCTGAGTATGATATGAATAAATATAAAAAAATATTGATTAATTACAGGCAAAAAAAAAAACACAAGATTTAACAATAACTATAAATACAAATTTTTACTACTTTAAAAAATCATCTATCAAACTGTAAGGTATGAATATTCGTATCATCTTCAAGACTATTTCTTTGCAAGGAATAAAAAAAGAAAAATTATATGTAGTTAATGGGATTGTTTACATGCAAAATGGTTTAAGTATAAAAAAAGAAAAGATACAATATAGGATGTACAAAGGAAGATGGGTGGGAAACACAAACAGTGCATGCATCAAAACTTTTGCATTATTTTCATAAATTAAATGCAGTCAATGCAAATGTTTGTTTCTAAATTTTTAATCATTTTAATCACTTTAACAGTATAACAGAAAACAATATGACTTTATTGAGATAATTGGACAAAAACCTTATTTGTGATATAACTCAGTGAGTTTTTCATTTTAAATCTATTTGACTATTAAGTATAAAATCAAAAATAAAAAGACAAGGAAACATTTCCTTGTCAGATTTATTTAACTGGTACAGAAAAACAATTCTAAGAGAACCAGAAGACCTAACAGGATTTATTCCAAGCAGACATAATCTTTACATAAAATACACAAATGACACTGTGCTGTTGGCAGACACAAAAAGAAAACTGCAAGAACTTTTAGACAAGATAATAAAGGAAATTAAGAAGAAAGAACTAACTATATCAACTGTAAGAAGACAGAATGCATGGTTGTCAGCAAGAGAGACAGCCCAAGGTGTGGGGACCTTATAGTCAAGCAGGCACAGTAATTCAACTATCCAAAAGTGCATAGGAATAAGAAAAAATACCTTCCAGAAAATAAGCAAAATATTAAGCGATAGGACAATGTCCTTAAAAACAAAGAAAGGAGTGCTGAACTGCTATATAATATCTAGTAATGGTAGTAAATGCTGAATAATCTCTTCACAGATGAAGAAGAGACCTAAAGCAAGAGATATAGATCTACAGATGAATGCCTAAAAGATAATGGACAGAACATGTAAGCAATGAGGAAATTTTAAGGAAAATATAAGAACTACAAAGAAACTGATACTTACAGAGAAAACTTAAATTTATGAGACACATAATAAGGAAAGTGGGCCTGGAGCATTTAACACTCATAGAACATACTGAAGACAAGAGAAGCAGACAGAAACAGTGAGTAACCTACTTAACAAGTGTGAGCAAATAATCACAAAACAAAAACAAAGAGGGGTGGTAAAGTGTCAAAGTTACAAAAGACAGGAAGTTGTTAAGAGCCAGCATCCCCCACATCCTGAAAGAACATGGCATGCAAAAGACAAAATCAAATGCTAATAAAATTGCTTTTAATTCATTCATTGTGCTTCTGTCCACTTTTAATACAAAGAGAATTTCATCAATTTTTTTTTTTATCAAGGCTTACAACAAACAAGTACTTGTCTGGTACAACATTGAGCCAAGTAATGAGTTAATTTTGAATGTATCAAATTTCAGAGTCACTATAAACAAAATTGTGAAAGAAACTCATCATACATCATTTCTAACTACAGATATACACTTTTACTGCATACTTTGTAAACTTTGCATGAAAAATAACATAATTCACAGAATAATTTTTTACACATCTTGAGATTTTCACCTCATGTTAAAGATGATTAGATTAACTTATTCCATTTATATTTCATTCCATGATCACTCATCACATTCAATTAGATTTATAAAACTCAGTTCATCTAGTTCTATGAAATAAACCACCCAGAATGACCTAGAAAGTAACTAGTGACATTGCTCAGTTAGCTTTCAATTATCTACTGTGACAGGAATTGATAAATTTTAAGTTGCATATTATTCATTTTGATTTAAAAAGCAAATCCACTCATATTTGGTTTGCAGGTGAATGACTTAAATTCTTGATAGAATCTTTTGCTTCTTTCACAAACCTTTTAGCTTCTGTTATTTTGAAGAGAAAAATCTATTACAAAATGAAACAACTACTTGATAGAAAAAGAATTTCAATTTATTTGACTAAGACAAGAGTAATTCTTGGCTGAAATTAAATACATTTTTTTGCCCTGCTCAATGAATTCAACTTGGCCATATAGAAAAATGCAGCTTTTTATATAATGACAGCTTTGTACTTGAATGACATCACTGCACAGATCAGGGGAGATAAACAACAAACCTGTTTGATGAAGAAGTCTCCACGAAGGTTGGAAACAAGGCCAAAATGAGTGTATTTGAAGGTGCTGTCAATGATCCACATCACCTGCTTGGCTAACTTCACCTTGCTATGCATCACATTCATCATGGCAGGAACGTCTGCTGTTGACTGGTGATTGGCAATTAGCAAAACTCCTTCATCAAGTATTGTGTTAATGTCATCTCCTGTCTCCACAACTGGTTGACACAATAGGGTAAATGGAACAAGAGAGAGAAAAGGAAATGTTAGTCAGTAAGAGAGGAGGGGAAAAGAACATGCAATGGAGAAGCGGGGTGGGTATGGTCAAAAACCATTGTTTTTGTTTGTTTGTTTGTTTTATACATTCTATGCAGAAAGTAGGAAAAAATATCTTGGTAATATATTAGTTAATGCAAAGGCATCAATAAAATCCCAAGTTTAATTACTGGAAAGATATGAATTAAAAGAAGGAAATATGGAGAATATTAGATAAGCAAAAGTTAATGAATGAAACCTGGTTATGTCAGTTTTCTGCTTACAAAGGGGAACATGTCTTATGAGATTACACATTTAATGCTGCATTTTGAAGCCTGTACTCAACAAAGTCACTTTCTATGTCAAGAATTATATTACAATTATTATCATTTAAGATTTATTGTAATAATAGTAGTAATTATCATTAGCATATCAACACTGGAATATCATTATGGTTGATAGAGATGAGATTACATGGGTTAAAAAATCTTAAGAAAACCCATGGAAATTGGTTTGTAATTAGCAGTTAAAAGGCTTAGAGTTGTCGTCCTTAGACCTTTTTTGGGGTGGGAGTGAAGAGTAACAATTTATATTTCATTAAAAAATTACTCAGAAATTAGTGACTTAATTCAACTGATAATTACTTTATCAAGTTAAAGTATTTTAACAGTAACACACACTCCCATACAAAAATTGGATTCATGCTAAGACACTATTTTTTATAAATATGCCTTAATTCTAATTCTGCTAAAAACGTATTAGTGCACAATTCTATTGTGTCACACCACACTTATGTCACTAAGTTTTATGAAAACAAATTGATCAAGTAATTTTAAAACTACTGCTTAGAAAGTTTAAACTGATATAGTTAAGAAAAAGCAAACAATCCTACTTCATGCTGTAACTTATTGAGAGATCTGTTTGTGCATAAAAACACCTTTTGAAAGGCTTGTAGCAATAAAACAAGTTAAAGCAAATGAGAAAAAAATCATAAAGAAGCGTTAGTTTGAGCAGAGGTCAATGAAAAAAGAAATCAAAAATAATCTTAAAACAAATAATTAAAATCCATAAGTGAATAAAAGAAACAGAATCATCAAGAATCGAACACTGGTTCAACAAGAGTAAATCCAGTTTAGCTAAAATTAACCCAATCTCTCTACAGCCTGTGGGGGTTGACATCCTATTTGGCTAATTCTACCTTGAATTATAAGAAGGGTTAAATTCTGAGTCTTGAGTCACTTGTCAACTTTAGGGTATTTGGCTTTCAGACAATGAACATATCTTGGGAACTTGAGATTAATTGCAAGAAATTAGTCATACATCAATGTCAGGTTAAAAGCAAATTGTTTAAGAAAAATACCTGAGTGATAAGAGGAGTAGACCATCATATATTGTAAAGGTTTGTCTTGTAGATAGTGAATGAACAAAATACACAGACAATTGCTATACAGTAGTATCATATCAGCATCAGAGAATACCACAAGCCTCAGTATATACACTTTTCTTACTAACTAATCCATATCCTTATAATAACTTACTGAATGCTAAACAGATGCAGAAATCAAAAACATTCCATTTCAATCAAAGAAACAAGAAGTCAAAGAATTCTTTACACTACAATTCCATAATAAGAAGGTGTGTTATAATGTTGGGAATATACTTTTGTCATTGTGGATAGTATGAGAGCTTGTCACTTTTTAATCATCTATACTTCAGTTATCCAATGAGATGCTCAAATTTAAACAGGTTTTCATCTTACATGGGTAAGGAAAGCTGATTCACTATTAACTTGACCTTTGAACTGAGTTGACAGTTAATAGACACCCACCATAAATGTATTTTCCACTATTTTAAGTAATATTTTTCAAAGTTCAGTGAAGTAAGCATTAAATTTTGTTAAATCCTTTATATCTATAATGGATACTTTATTTTGGAAGATTTTTAATTACAAAATTTAAATGTTTCTATTGACAGAAAAACTGACATTAAGAGAAATCTAAAACCTAAGTAGACAAAAACATTTTTACAATTAATTTTAAGCTATTTTTATGCAATTGAAACTAAAATTAAAACATTAAGATTAGAATTATTATAACATATTTTTTTAATAGTCCATTTCTACAATTAGCAACATTTGTTGGTAACTATCAAGTTGAGATGTAACTTCTCTCTTATTCCAGTGGGACTTTTAGTCCTCACAAGAAAGAGAATGTCTTGATGCCTGAACTCCTTGTTTAACCAAGAAGATTTTTACTCAAGGAAAAGTTTTGCTTTGAACCCTGGGTAGATAATGTGTGTTCACTTCGGATAGTATAACTGCATCTTCTTTCCTGGATTTTTGTCTCTTGATTCAGGTTACTGGAGATAAATGTCTTCTGGGTGGGTGTTATCCACCTGATATTCTGATGTTCAGATCCATGATTAACTCCTAAGGAGGCTAACTCATCAGCAGGTGCATAATATCATGGCTATTGTACTGTCATTTTGGAAATAGGATCTGGACTATGCAGTAGCTTTTGGTGGTGATGTTCAATGCCATAATGAAAGTACAGTTATGGCTGTACTTCCAGACAATTTAATCCAGCAAAAATAATTCCCAAGTTTAGTATCTCCTACACAAATGTGACGGGGTCAATGATAAAACATTCCAGATGTTAAATTCCATCTTCATGAGGTCAAATCAGACCTCATGTTTTGGTCATAAATTGGTCTTAGCTTTTACATTACAACCACTCTTTACCAAACTTCCCCCTTCTCATAGAGCACAAACTTTGTAATATCTCTATCATGGCACAAGAAGTTTCCAGACTTATCAAAAGCTTTGGGACTAAGAAGCTCACCAGTCTGAATAAAATACCAGTGATTGTTCCAAAGAATATCAGCCCAGAGGTATCTATAATATTGGCAAAATTGTTCAAGCACTGCCTGAGAGATCCTTCCCAAATCTATGGAAGGTTTCATCAACCTCCTTTGTATCATCCATAAAGTCTTTGAATCTATAATCAACAAGGTTGTTAAACACCTCAACAAGAACAACCTCCCAAGTGATAACCTGTATGGATTTCACTCTGCTGTCTTAACTGTCATTACTCACATAATCAGTGATGCACTAGAAAATAAATTCATTACAAGAACCATCACCCTAGATCAATGTTCTCAATTTGTATGCACTAATACACTCTGAAAGGTAACCAGGTGTGACCCAAGTTAACAGAAGAGTAATTTATTAATATTTTTATATTTAAAAAAAAATATTTATTTCTAAAAAGCAAGAGCCATCAAACACATGACAAAGCCTTTGTCATTTGATATTTTAAACTAGATGCTAAATTTCTTAATCTTTAAGAAGGTGTAGTGAAAGAGATAATCAGGTACCCCGAAAAAAAGTTTGTGTTTTGTGTGCGATCTGCCGAAGAAAAATTAACAAAAAGTAGTCAGCAAAAATCTACATCAATGACTAGAAACTATGCTAATGTTCTTCCCTCCCTTGAATGGCATAACCATTCAGAAAATTCTCTCGGCGAACAGAAGTCGTTTTTCGCTTATAAAAGGAGATGATTTTTTTTGAGCTGTGAAACGAACACGCTTTGTTGTTGGCGAGAAGTGAAGGTTGGATTTGTGACCCCATTTTCTCGTTTCTATGGTGTGTGTTGGACTGTTACGCCGGCCATCATGAAAGACATTGTGGATGCTGCACTATCCAAGGATGAGACAATTCATCAAGTGATGTCAGCATACATTGACGACATCTACATCGACGAAACCTTAGTACCCGCTGCACAGGTGAGAAAGCATCTTGCTGACTTTGGGCTCGAATGTAAGAACCCAGAACAACTGGAGGATGGTGCTTGTGTGCTCATCTTGCAGGTCTTGGGAGAGCATAATGTGCTTTACTGGAAACATGGAAATGAGCTCCCGGACATTCCCAGACACATGACACGACGCAGCGTGTTTTCGTTATGTGGAAAGCTGGTGGGACATTTTCCCCGTGGGTGGGTGGATCCGCATTGCAACTGAATTTATCAAACGTAGGGTGACTGCTGTCAATTCCGGCTGGGATGACACAACAAATGATGCTCCCCTTAGACACATGATAGCGGAAGTCATTACTAGGGTGCATCAAGACGACCCGTATGCGTGGTAAATGGTGCGTTGACGGATGTGAATTTAACATCTGGATCAACGCAAGCTCCTTGCAACAGGAGTGTCTCTTGAAGTAGGTGAAACTGTCGTGGAAGATGCGTGTTGGTTGTGTCCCGAGAAGGATACACAACATATCAACCTGTCGGAATTAGATGCTGTTATCAGGGGAGTAACTGCGTCCCTTCAATAGAATGCAAAGGTGTTGCATTTATTCACGGATTCCACATGCGTGTATAAGTGGATAGCAGATACTCTTTCGGGGGAAGGCCAGGATACGACATAAAGGCTGCGAAGCGAGATGCTCATTCAAGGCGGTTAGACACACTGGGAAAGTTGGTAAGTGAATACCACTTATCCGTGATATACAGCTGGTCAGATCACATCAGAACAAGGCCGACACCAAGGGTACCCCCAAAAATGGCTTGACGCTATTAAGGAAGAGGTAGAGCCGGTAAGACATGTCTGTGTAACATCAGCGAGCAAATCAGAATCAGATTTACTAAAATCTCTGCATTGCCAAAGGGACACCCCAATGTAAAACGGACCCTTATTTTGTGAGGCAGATTTATCCCTCCGTATCCAAAGCTGCTGTCAGGGCAGTGGTCAGGGAATGCAAGGAGTGTCAGTCCATCAACCCAGCACCTGTGCAATGGCAAAACGGACAAATGAGTGTGAGCAAGGTGTGGCACCATGTTGGAATGGACATCACCCATTATAAC